TTTATTTAATGAAATAAAAACGCTAGATCAACCACCTGTCCTTTACACAGATAGCGCAAGTGCGGTGAAGTTGGCGCGTAATCCGGAATTCCACAAAAGAAGCAAGCATATTGAAGTCACTTCATCCGCGAAAAGTTAAATTCTGGTCTCATCCAGATTGAACATGTGCCAGGAGAGGAGCAGGTTGGGGATATCTTAACCAAACCGCTTCCGAAACCAAGGTTTTTAAAACTTCGTGCTTTGATGGAATTAGACCGTGCTTAGACAGAAATATAGTGTTATTAGAGGAAGTGTTGTGAATAAATTCCACCATATTTTTAAATGTATGTATGTTGGTAGCACTTGTTAGGGACAAGTAACCGCCCTTCTTGCACCCTTGTAGGATGACGGATGCTGCTGCCCTGTACTCGTTAAGCCGTCTTAGCGTAAGCACATCAAGTTTATATTGTATACACATTAAAGTTTCTTTTCAATATATGTTATTTCCTGTAACATCTTATTCGTTTTCATTTCTTGTGTAATAATAAACAGTCGATTAATTGAATAACATCAACAGAAATTAAAAGCAAGATCAATAATCAACGGCAATAATCAACAAGCTCATTTTACGCAAACTGCGAATTTAAACTCCAATCAGTCCGGGGCGAGTGTCACGCACTCGGACAATTAGATATTTTAACCTTCGACACTTCTAGCAGACCACAGCACCAAATTAATTTAGCAGACAGAAATAATTTATCTTTTATCGTGCTACCATACTTAACCGCTTATAATGAAATTATCCAATTTAAATTCTTGGTAGACACAGGTGCTAACGTCTCTATTATTTCAAGCGATAAAATCCGTCAAACGTCTCTAAAGCCAAACAACGAAGAAATCATTTTAATAAATGGGATATCTCCGGATAAACCCATCGAATCAATCGGGACCGTCGATTTCATTTCCAATATCAAGCAAACAAAGCTCTCAATTAAATTTCATGTGGTTAGCAGTCACACCAACATCCCTTGCGATGGATTGATTGATAATGACTTCCTTCGTTTGCAGAAAGCACACATCGATTATAAAGAATGTAATATTAGGTTGAAAGAATTACCTAATCTTGTATGCGAGTTTTACATGTTTCGCCCTGTGAGCATCATCAGAAACTGATTAGATTTGCGTTCTAGGGGTGTTTTGTGTGTCAAGTGTTTGTGTTGTGTCTCCCGGAGAGTCTAACGCAGTTTCCACCCTCAGCGACAATATTTTGTTAGACGATGAAGAAGATACTTTTCTTGGTGTACCGTATCGGGAAGCGGTTGGCTGCCTTATGTTCATATTCATTGTCGCGAGACCTGACATAAGCTACGCTGTTAGTGCAGCCTCTCAATTTCTTGAGAAAACACAAACTTCGCATTGGAGTGCGGCTAAAAGGATTTTTAGGTATCTCCGTGAATAGGTCTGTGATCGCTCGTGCACCATTCTGCGTCTTCAACCACCCACGAGTGGGTATCGTTCAATGCTAAAGCACTCACGAATATTACGTCTATATTTGATTGGCCATTCATTCAAAACATAGTAGTTGTGTTCTTGGATGAGATTTTCAACCAGTGACCCGGCATGACACAACGTGTCACAAAGACTATAAGACTTTCTCATCTCGGAGCTTTTTCATAATATTGAAGTCGCCCTTGGCTCCGGCACCCACTAGCGGCGAAGTCCGGAACGCCTACAACATCCGCGACCTACAACCCCCAACGGAAGAGGCCGCACCTCAAGCCGCCGAGCCACGAGCACCGCCGACTAGACCGCACTAAGGGTGCTCAGCAAAGAATGCTGGGTGACTCGCGGCGCTTGACCACCAGCATCGCTCAACGCCGTACGCGTCTCTCGACCTTCGACGTCCGAGCATCTTCTTTAATAAATTACGTTAATCGTTAATAAAATACAACCTACGCATCAATATATGCTAATTTTGTAACATAGTGATGGCGGTTGTCACCGAACTGCCAAATGCTCACGAGGACGTAGGAGTTTCCCACGTGATCAATACGGAAAGTGGTAGCGTTTGCCAACTCGTAGTCACCTACGTAGCCAACCTTGCTTATATATTGCTTTCGAGCAATCTGATAGCTTAGGCAGGCTATCGTGTTTTTAACATTGTGCGAGTGTGTTCAGCCTACTGCCTTGCACGCTCCACATTTTGCTGGCCCTTCAAGGGCCTGTCCATTACACCATCTCACCATCTGTGCAAACATTCCTCTTCCACAGCTTCTACTCATGCTGTGGACCTTAATATGCTTGCGACTCTCGACAATTTCAAGGAAATTATGCGAGATGAAGAATTTTACAAATGCACCTGGCAGAAGCGCGTTCAACCGTGTTGAGAGAAGAAGGGCACCTTTAAGCCGGGAATTATCTGGACTTATACTTCCGCATGATTCTTATGGAAATCATTTGGATGAACAAGGAAGAACAAAAGATCATGATCTTGAAAAAAAGAACTTTCAGAAGGCTGCAGAAGTTCTCTCAGAAGTATGGAAGAAAATGGTTATCGACGGCCATGACGTTGTAGCAGAGTATGTAGAGCCCGATGACAAGGCTGAAAGCTTTGTTCCAGACCTGCCTTCTCCACAGTGGTGTAGCGAGCATGTGCGAGAGAGCCAGTATTTGCTTCAGGTACATTAGTAATCTCACATATTATTTTATCATTTGTTCTTTTATCTCATACGACAATATGATTAAGATATCTTAATATTATTACCAGGTGTTGAAGTGTGATGGCCGCGCTTGCTGTGGACATGTGCGGAGTTCTCTTCGATCCATTTTGCCGGAATGCTTCATGATATCTCCTTACCCAATTTTGCAGTCGTCTAGTGGCCTGTGTATACTAAAGCCTCAAGAGCATGATGGCAAAACGATTGCTACATTTCTTTTGCGTCTGTCTCTTGGAATCTCCCCAACGCATAATGGCTTTAACAAAATGCCCTATGATCTGTATTGCCCTAGTCTGCAAAAGGATCGTCAGCAACTTTTGGAAAGGACGTGTCAGTGGTGTGGTTTGTATTTCTGTACAAAGAAGAAAGTCAAAGAACACGTAAATTCATGTCACAAGCAGTGTAGAAATATTAATAATAGTGTAGAGATGCACAATGTTCATCCTTCACGCATTCTCACGCGACGATCGAACGCCAGATCGAGAGAAATTCTCTGCGTTGTGCCTGAAAATGATGACACCGAGTGGCTCGATGAAAGCGAAGTGGATTTTCAACAAAACACAGCGCCAACAACTGACCTGCAAGATGCCTATCCAGTTGTTAGTGTTGAAGAAAGTCTTGCAAATCCGTGGTCCGAGGACAATATATATTAAATATGTTCATGGACTAGTGTAATACTGTGTAATAGTGTATATATAATATAGTGTAATTTATGAATTAAATAAATGATAGTTTTTATCTGTATTTAAAGATAATAATATTATCTTATAATGTAGCATAGCGTACATTCATTTTTAATTATTTTTTTTATTAATGTTTTCAATTTCAATTTTTATTATATACGTTGCTATATTTCTTTTGTGTATAAAGTTAGCAATAGTGAACAGGGCGAGAAGTCGGTCAGACAGTCCCGGCAATTATGACAATAATAGGTAGAAATATATCAATAGCCTTTTGGCAAGCGTTTCTTGCCCAGACTAAACAAAGGCAATATACTAAATATTTTATTGAGGGTAGAACAGACAACAAAGGGACACTCTGTTCTTACTTAGACTAAACGGACTTTATACAATTGGGTGCGGGACCCGAGGTGTCCTCACGTCACATTACATTCCGCATCAGATATAAAAGGGACACCTCTGGTTCCGAGGAGCAGTTCTTGTTATTAACTCACTAAGTGTACTTGGGTAAAATTTTGCATTCAATAATAAATATTGTTGAATTATATAATTTGTGTCTTACGTCTCTTTGAACTAATTTTGCTAAAACGATTCGCACACTAAAATAATAATTGTAAAAATTTTATTATTCTTTGTAGGGACTAAATGAAAAAATGTCATTAATGGACAGCCCCTTGGCGGTTTGGGCACTTTATGCGTTTGTGCGCAGTGCACACAAACCTCTTTTTCGGAACGGTTGGGTGTCCGTGGATAATGTGACCGTTGCATTTGACCTGGGCTCCTCGCTCCCTTCTTTCTCTGCCGCCAGTAGATTTACCTTCTTGCTCCGGGTCAATCTTGGGCAGTCTCTTCCTGGCCTCGTCCGCATCTCCCCCATATTCCGCGACGATGAGGATTGCCGCTTCTTCTTCCTTCCTCACCGACGCAGCTATCTTGGAGATCGCGACCGATCTCCCTTGAGGAAGCCCAACCTTTCACGGGCCCAGCTGCCGTCTTGGCAATTGCCTCCAAACCCGTGAGCCTGTCGGACAGCCTACAGGTCTGTTTAGTCCAACTCACGGGGGACGTTTCGCCTGCGGATGTCGCCATCCTTAGGCCCCACGCAACCGCTTGGGCTTGCGGTCACGTGAAATAGATTTGACACACGTAGAACAACCGCATTATCGGGAAGCGATCCGCCATATTATCAAAAGTTACAAGCCGGAAAAGACGCGAGACGTAGGGATAACCGCGAAAATTGTATTAAAAATGCGAGTCCTATAGTTATAGTTAGGAAAAAAAGACGCTATAACCTGTGTCGATTTCCACGAGCTTAACGAATCCATTGAATATCTGCATTTTTCAATACCTTTGTATTTCTCAAAGTTATATTTGAATAATGGATTTTTCTATGTTTCGTTAGATGAGGAGAGAAGTAAATATACCTCTTTTGTTACGCCGACGGGACAGTACGAATTTATTAAATTACCATTTGGTTTAAAAATCTCACCAGTAGTCTTTCAAAAGTATATAACTACAATTTTCAAAGAGTTTATTGAGAAGGGAATTCTTATTCGTCAGACTATAAAACTAAGGCGGTTCAAAATTTTCCCAAGCCGACGTCGGTCAAAAAAATTCAAAGCTTTTTGGGCCTTACGGGGTATTTTCGAAAATTTATTAGGGGTTACGCGAAGATAGCCAAGCCGTTGACAGACCTCTTGAAGAGAGATATGAAGTTTTATTTTGGGGAACAAGAGACAGAAGCATTTGAAACTTTGAAAGCAGTACTTACCGATGAGCCCGTACTTAAACTATACTGACTGGGATCAGAGACTGAATTACATTTTGAAGCGATTTCCGTTTAAATCCCTTACCGAGCATTACATTTGTTACTGAGAGTGAGGACGGGCTAATTGCACGTCTAAACACAAGAAAAGGACAATGAGGTCAGTAAACTTTTAGGTGCCGAAGCGTGCAGTCAGGGAGAGGGATATATTATTAGGAACAATATTTAATACAAATGTTGTAAAGACGATTTACCGATAGTTGTAAGTAGTCCGGCAGGCACATGAGCGTGGGCATTTTGGTGTCATAAAGACTGAAGCTATTGTAAAACAAGATTTTTGGTTTAAGGGGCTGCGAGAGAAAGTCGAGCATGTCATAGCAAACTGTCTTATTTGCATCTTAGCTGAGCGTAAGTTAGGTAGACAGGAAGGGTACTTAAACCCACTGGACAAACGAGATGCACCGCTGGATACCTTCCACGTTGACTCTGTGAGCCCCAAGACAGCCATAAAGAAAAAATACACGCATATTTTTCTAATTGTCGACGCTTTTACAACATTTACGTGGCTTTATCCTACGAAATCAACGGATACTGCAGAAGTCTGGAATCGTATGAAGAAGCTAGCTGCTGGGTTTGAAAATCCTCCAAGCATCGTTTCTGATCGGGGAACGGCGTTCACATCCAATGCTTTCCAAGAATATTGTGTGGAAGAGCACATTAAGCATTTGCTAATTACAACAGGGCAGGTGAAGAAAGTCAATGGGCACTTATACCATTGTTGACAAAATTCACTGCTCCGAATGTGGATGAATGGTACCAGCATGTCGATAAGGTACATACGTTTTTGAATGTGACGATAAACAAGATCACGAGAAAGTCTCCATTTCAATTAGTTGTTCGGGAGGGGCTCGCATCAAAGAAGGTCTACAGATGAAGAAGCTTATCGACGAAGAATGGACAGAGCAGTTTGAAGAACAACGGTGTGAGCTACGTAAAGAAGCCAAAAGGAAGATTGCAGAAAGGGAAGAACAAAACAAGAAGACTTTTAATAAAGTAAGAAAAATGGCCACACAATACCAGACGGGAGATTTGGTGGCCATAAAAAGGACACAGTTCGGCACCGGCTTGAAACTCAAGGGAAAATTCTTGGGCCCGGGCTATATATTGCGAGCGTTACGAAATTATTGTTGTGGTACAGAAAGAAAGAGAGCATGAAGGGCCCAGGAAAACTTCCACAACTACTGACTTTATGAAGACTTTATGTCAACGGTAGAGATGATATTTCATTAAATATTGTTCAAACTGCAAAACAAATACTCATTTTACTAACGACTGTCGATATAGAGGAAACAAGCCATTAACCGGAAAATTCTGTCGTTACTATAAGAAAGATGGCCACGAGATTGACGAGTGTCGTAAACGTCAATATAATAACCAAAGAAATCAAAACAAACCTCAAAACTCAAACCAATCAATACCATCAACAAAATTCAGGCCCATCAAATAATCGTTTAAACCATAGACCAATTAATCAGACCACCGAAATATCACAAAGCAAAGATGTCTCTAATGAACTACCAATGGAGTGTCTCGTCATCGAGAATAACCATAAAAACCGATGCGTTCTAAATCTACTACACGAAGATAAATACGGAAAAAAATTCTATTTCTCACTTCTAATCGACACTGGCGCAGCAATATCTATAATTAAACCCGAAAAACTTAAATTAACCAATCTCACTTTTAATCCCAACGAGAAAACTGAAATATTGGGTATCAGCAAACACGCAGCAATGCAAACAACGGGAACTTTTACATTGAAATCAAAAATACAATAACACCCATCAAGTTTAATATAATCAAAGCGGAACTTAACTTCGAATTTGACGGAATAATCCGTATGGATTTTTTGAAATTACATAATGCTATAATAAACATAAAAGATCAATATGTCCAATTAGAAAATTTCGGAATAGACAAAATAATAAAAATTAAATTAGAACCAGCATCAGAAAAATGTATTGCACTGCCACCTGTCACGAAACAGCGATTCAAATTAACCTGATCACAGAAAGCGTATGTCCAAAAATTAAAGAAGGCATTTATGTCGCAAATGCCATAGAACTTGAACCATTTGAATCACACACAGAATCACAAATTTTTCATTTCAACGTACATTTACCACGTATAAATAGAACAGAAGCTGTCCTAAACAACCTAAGACTAGAACATTTGAACCGGGAAGAAAAACACACAATTGCAGACATTTGCAATGAATTTAACGAGATTCTCTGCCTACCTAATGACGTGCGAACTCACACAAATGCGGTACATCATAAAATTATCACAGAATTAAACAAGCCCAAAACAACAAAAATTTATAGATTTCCGAAAATTCACGAGCATGAAGTAAACAGGCAAATTAACGAATTATTAAATCAAAATATCGTCCAACAGTCATCAAGTCCATACAATAGTCCATTATGGGTTGTACTCAAAAAGTCACAAATAAATAAAAAAAATCAACACAAGTGCTGGAATTTCATATCAGGATATGGCCCATAATTCACAAATTTAGACAAGTTGGAAAACAACCTACATATAATCGAAACATTACTTAATGAATTAAAAGCAATTTGCGTGAAAAACCCAACAAATTACTGCAATCCAGCAGAGAACCTTATAGAGAGCAAAGTACCCCAACTTGCAAGTAAAGTTATAGCTATAAGGGATTTAGTAAGCCACGCAACGAATACCAGAAACAAACGGGGACTTTTAAACGCCGGATCTGATATCCTAAAATACCTAATAGGAACACCAAGCGCGGACGACGCTCAATATTACCAATCCTCAATCAAGGAACTAACAAATCAAAACCACAACTCTGACTTATTATTACAACACCAAATACATGTCATGTAAAGCGCAATAGATAGTTATAACAAATCAGCCGTAGAAATCAATCAGAAAGCAAAGCAGCTCAATAGAAACCTTATGGTAACCGGTAACTTAACATCCACAATAAACGGTTTCATGAATCGAACTAGAATCGACATTTGGATGAGCGATCGGGCAATGCTGATAACTATCCCAATTAAAATTTTACTCAAACTCCAAATTACCCTTCCCCAATACCCGCAAAAATTCATTAGCATGTTCAACCATACATGCTAATTGATGCAGCAAGTAACAAATACAGCATGCTGGAGGATTTTTCTATCTGTAAGACATTTCATGGCATTGAAACCATCTGCGAATGCCATACATTATACTCCGTACTGCAAAGTAATACCACAAGATCCAGCAACATCACGAGTTCCGGAAACCAACGTGCCTTCGGGACGAAGGGAATTCTTTTTATAAGGGGGGATGAGTGTTATGACCGTTGTCCCACCAATAATATTTGTATATTAAATTTGCGTACGACATGTTAAGTTTCCAAATGATGTATTCTTCCTTTATCATATTTGCCTCTGCTAATCGGATGTACTAAGGCTTCAATCATTAGCAGACGTACGTCATTACTTGGACTCTTGTACATGACGTATCAGAGATAAACATATTGAATAGGAGCAAATAGAAATCAGTATCTAACCAAATTTCTTGTGTAACATTAACTGAGCAGCAAGTCTGTGTAACCGAAGTCGCAACGTCGACTAGGCCACAACAGGTGACATGCAATCCAGACGATCAACAACAGGTTTTGCTTTCCTGGCAAATAACAACATCATCAGCTGGAGGACACAACTTCAGAGAAGTGTAACCTGTTCCATAGCGGAAGCAGAATTTATTGCCGCATCAGAAGCAACAAAAGAAGCAATGTGGATCAAGCAACTATGCAGTGAATTAAAGAAACCAATCAGTGCCATTAATTTATTCATTGACAATCAAAGTGCTATAAAGTTAATTAAGGATCCTGAATATCATCACATAACGAAGCACATAGATAATAGATATAACTTTGTTAGAAAAAAATGATGAGAATGATTAGAGAAAATGATGTAGATTATGTAAACACCAAGCAACAAGCAGCTGATATATTGACAAAACACTTACCTTACGATACATTTTCTAAATTACGTAATTTAGTCGGTTTTAATGATTTCAGTAAATCAGAAAATGTGTATCAGTAAAGAAAAGAAATATCAATTCGATTACTCATTTCTGACATACCTATGTTAAATCGTAATGTTTTTTTACTACTATGGTTTGGTCTTATTTTAGAATGTCTGTATTTTTTTGTATCATGTGTTAAATGACACATATTGTAACCATTGTAAACAAGTAACGCTTAAGCGAGTGTTAAGTTGTAAGAGTTACTTCAACTGAGTATGTATGCAACCAGATGTACCCCTCCAGAAGTGCAACCCTCGAATGCTGCAGTGCGTGCGTAGCCTTAGTTGAGAGTGCATCTCTTCCTGTGTTTTGAATATACAGTTAACATTTGCAGCATCAATTAATATTACAATCCTCGCTTCCTCGCGCAATCCTAATTACAAAGAGGATTGATAAAGCAATAATGAACCATATAATCGTTGATATGCTCCACACGCAGTTCACAAATATCGGGTAAAATTTGAAAAATATTTTAGAACATCGCTGATAGCAACATTTATAAAATAATGCAATCTAAAGTAAGGACTTCAATTTTAAGAAGCGAGTGGGTGAGTGCTACCACCGATATCTGGACTAATGCATGTATAACACGTTCACTTCTTAGTTTTACTGCTCATTTTATCCTTAATCGTCAACTGGAACAAGATCATACCAGTCAATATGTTGAGCAAAAATTTACAGAAATGATGAATCAATAGACTTAAAACTACAAAAACAACCAAAAACTATGTGTATAATGGTCCTCACAACCGCATTGCTCAACTTGTCAACGCCCTGCATAACAAGGTTGATTTCTACAGTGGCTCGCTTGGTGCTTTCATTCCAGAGGCTAGATCACGTCTACTACAATTCCCCTAATTTTGGCTTAAAGTCATTCTCAAAACTATTTTCTTTTAAGTTCTCTTTGTTCTTTCCCCCCTCATATTTACTTTGCAATATAGTATCTAATCTAATTGTATAATGCCGATTGGCGTAGGAATATTTTTAAATAAATAAATAAATACAAACAGCAAGATTTTTCTGGTCCTACGTGGCCATGTAGCAAAAATTGCGCGATGCATAATCACTATGAATTTATAGGTTATGTGACATACACAATACACATGGTGATAAAACTAGCACTATTTTCTGACGAAGTAAGGACTTGTTAAAAAATGCAGAAAAATCATAAGCCATTTCCACTATAGTGAGACAGCAACCAGGAAATTGATTGAGTATCAAAAACAATGTGGACTGTAAGAACATGCTGTGGGGCAAGATGTTGATGTGAGGTAAAACAGCACATACGTGCGTGATATTGCCAAGACTTTTAAAGCAAAAAAAAGCAGTCAACTTGTACAGTGTTGGGCATGTTAAGTTTCATGTTATTCTCTCGAAGGAATGGGAAGTGATAAAGAACATTATAGCAGTTTTAAATTTTGTTTTATGAAGTCACACTTCCTTTATCAATTAGTGATGCATGCATATCAATAGTAATACCTTTGATATCATTATTAAACCACAAATTACAAGTTCGATGTGAAAATGATGACGAGATGATGACAAACATGAAAAACTCACTATACGAGTATTTGAACGTCATCCTTCGTTGATGGTTGCTTCAATGCTTGACCCAAAATTAAACCGTAAATACAAATAGAAATACAATTAAGATTGTATATATGCGGTCCGAGTCATAAAAGCATATAATTGTCTTCACAGCAGACATTGAGAAGATATACCTACAAATCACAGTGGCTAAGGCACATCAACGGTACCAAAAAAATTTATGGAGATTCGACTCAAACGACCTCATCGACGAGTTAGAACTGACAACGGTTACATACGGAACGGCGGCCGCACCTTACTCGAATCAGCAAGCGACGAAACAGCAACAAAAATAAAGGAATCTAAGTCCAAATCAAAAATTTATGTGATACCTATAATATTCTTGCTGCTAACATTCATCAAATCAGCATCCACTTAATACACAATAGAAAATGTAACGTCTGGAATCTTTGAAGAACATTTGGGAATCTCACAAATCACAAGAGGAGAATTTTTAATGCAGGTGATGTTTGACATTGAGAAAATCAAGCACAACATTCAATCAGCTCAAGAAATTGATGAAAAGTTTCTACTAATATGCAACATAACGACAAATAAGAAGAGTTTAGATTGTAATGCACTGTACACATCAAGTGATGAACACGATAGCATCCAAAAGAGTGGCAAAAGAGCATAATGCTCACATCATCAATATGTATCAGCAAGGACTCAATTATATCAACGAAGTCGCTGAGCACCATCAGCAGACAGGATGTTCGCCACCACCAAACAGCTTCACCATGAAGCCTTCATATAACACCTCTTCGGCGCCGGCCCCCAGCATGTTTGCACCGCAAACAGAAAAGCGGCAGACACATTAGTGATGTTTTCGAACTTGGAATTTTGTGTTGTACGTATTTAGTGCCGATAGTGCGTCGCCTCGGATGTGGACAATAAAGACATTAAGCTGTACAGTGGTGCAATATCAACAGTAATATCATAATATGTACACCAAAAATCTTAATATTAGAAATAGATAGTAAACATATTTACAGATGAGCAAGGGTCCGTCATGTCATAAATTGACCCTTGGGCTACCGATTAGATATCGCTAGAATTAAATTATACAAATAAGATTGTAAAAGCGGTCGGCACCTAAGTGTCACTCCGTTGCGCATGGTAATTAAGCTATCGCTTAAGAAATTTTTTTGTATGTAAGGAAAAATTTTTCGAGCAATCTCAAGTTCATCAGAGGAATTTGATGTGTATCAGCCTCGAAATACCGGTATTTCATACTAAATTCGTAAGTAGAAATAGCTGACAGTGCACCACTAAAGGTGAAGAAGAAGACATCTAGGGATCAGCAATTCAAGCAAAGCTGAACGGCCAAGACGAGAATAGACAAACTGAGAAAAAGATGATGAATGAGAAAGAGAGAGAGAGAGAGTGATAGGCGACGCATAGTCCGCCAACACATCTGTTACATAATGAGTAACTGTCGGATAATGCACACACAATCAAGAGTTGACTAATTACGTGTTCATTAGGAGTTCACAGTAATATTAATCTACAATTAATATTTCAAAAATATCTCTGACTGCTTTGCAGTATTACATTTAATTTTTGATTAGTTTTTAATGCATTAATGTAGTCACTGAATTCCATTTTTGGATTTAATATTTATATCGTTTTGTGATACATTTTTTAGGTTTAGTTTAGGTTGTAAGGTTTTTTAACGGATTCCCTGGTATTGTATTTAAATTAATTCGTTGTCACATGTGGTGATAGCTGTGGTGATAGTTGCTGCACGTTTTGGTTATGTTTTGCCTAACTGGCATGGCTTCGTTTAGTTTATGACAATTTATAATATTATAATTTATATTGTGTTTCATCTTAAAGGGTTATTTTATTGAGAATATTTCACTGGTACATCAGCCGTTTCTTTATTCCTTCACAAGAGATTGATGCACCCTAACCAACAAACAGCGACAAATTGCCGACGTACCATACATAAACTAGACTAGCGATGGTCGACTGAAGTAAGTAACTCGAGTTAACTCGAGTTGGGCGTAACTAGAACCCACACGAATTGAATTCCGAATGGAACCGACATGGAGCGAAGTTTGCCGATCATTTGTGTGAGACTTATGTTCATTCATCAGTCTTTGATTCATTCATTCATTGATTTATTCATAACAAACAAGTGTCACATATGTAGATTTGAGGTTAACTTTAACACCTTGACACCGGCTCAATATTTCTTTGGCTGGTCCATCTAGCAGCGCTTGTCTATTTTTCAAATTGTGTAAATCACAGCTCGAGCACAGCAACTGGCACGACTAATACCGTTAGCGAACGCATATTTTACAAGTCATCGCGCTGTGTGTAACTTCGTATCTACATCTGAATTATTGCTGAATATTGCCGATATCTTGTTTATTGGTAAGTACTATTTTCTTTATTTATTGTGCATATATGTAATTCATAAAATATTTTTATGTTCAATAGAACGAAAACGAAATGCGGATGCTAACTGATAGCGAAAGTTCTTCCGATGAGTCGATCATTTTGAAGAAAAGGGTGCCAAAGCCGCGGTCATCTTCCTACGAAAACTTATTTACGGATTCTGAATCTAAAGGCTCATCTAAAAAACGTCAACATTGAAGATGAAATTTGGGGGCCCGTTACAGAAACAGGCAATAACGTTATAAATCCTGGTTTGAATGAACAGTTATTTGTAGATGTGGATTGCAATGATCCATATTTGCTGTACAAGCTATTTATAAACGATAGCATTTTGCATCTTATGGTTGATGCAATGAACAGATATTGAACCCAGAGACGAAATTAAATGAAAGAAGATGCAGTAACTAGTACCAGCACTGAAAAACACAACTTGGAATGGACAGCAGTAAGTTATGACAAGATATAAAAGTTTCTAGCAAATTTGCTAATAATGGGAATTCCATGCTTTCCTGAAATTAGGATGTATTGGTTCAAAACTAAAATGTACACCAATCTAAAAATTAAAGAAATTATGAAGCGAGATCGCTTTCTTGGCATACTAAATTATCTACATTTTAGTGATAATAACACGGAAAACCAGCTGAACGAATTTTTTAATACTTTTGTTGAACTAAAAACAAAGTTCAACGGTTATTATTATTCCAGGATCAGAGGTTGTGATTGATGAGTCGATCATTGCTTGGCGAGGACGGCTTTGGTTTCGGCAATACCTTCACGGCAAACGACATAAATTTGGAATGAAATTATACACACTATGTTTTCCGAACGGGTACACTTACAGTATAGTAGTATATGCCGGGTAAAATGAAGAAATGGCTAAGGTGGGTCATTCTCACACGGACAGTTTTTACCCCAGCGTCCCATTAGCCGAGGAATTGCTTCGGAAAAATACTTACTCTTGTGGTACCGTCAAAAGAAATAGAAAGTTTTTGTCAGGGAAAGTCAAAGCAAAACAAAAAGGCGGTGAAATGTTTTGTGTACAAAATAAACAAGAAGTAAAATTTTTGGAATGGACCGACACAAGAGCGGTGTACCAGCTCATTCCCATTCCTGCAAATTATGCGAAGATCCAAAGGAAAACTAAAACCTGACGCATTTAAAGATTATAATCAAGCAAAACAAGGAGTGGACTTATCAGATCAACTTACATCTTATTATAGTGCACTCCGAAAAACAATAATGTAGTATAAAAAGATTGTAATTGAAATAATTTGTGGCACAGCCATTATAAATGCGTGGTACATCACAAAAAATGGGGAACAAAAGAAACTAAATTTACTCAAATTGCGAGAGATCGTAATAGATGGACTCCTTAGTTTACCTGATCAATTACAGGAGGTGCCAAAGGGAGAAAAGCATTATTTAGAAAAATACTCGGACACTGCAAGAACAGCAAGGAAGCTTTGCCGCGAATGCTATAAACATTTAAATGCCAAGGGGGGAAGAAAGTTTCGTTTCAAAAATCGAAGCGAATTATAACATTTTGTTCAGGTTGCAGCGATAAACCCCCTTTGTGCTTTTCTTGCTTCAAATTACTACATAAGTGAATATTGTATGCATATTGTACAGTAGAGTCCGTTTATAATGACATCGAAAGGAATTGACAAACACGTCATAATAAGCGGACGTCATACAAAGCGTTTTGTGAAATGAAAAATCTTTTTTATGTAAATATGTACATCATATGTACTTTAATATGTATTTTAATCCAAAAACATAGTAATTACATATAATTATATTATGCGCATCTCGCCTTATCTTCTAAGTTGTAGAGTCAGCATTCTTCGCGACTACTTATGGCGCGCGTTGCAAAGCAGCGTCACTTATTATTAGCAGCTCGACTAAATAAGTCAAGTAGTATAAGACATTTGTCAAATTATAATTAAAAACTCAAGTAACAATAAACGTTTTATTTTTAAACTCATCCGAGTGTTCAATATAATTATATGTATACATACCTATTAAATAAAAACAAAATTGCACGTAATCAGCACATTATAACACATACAAGTGTATATTTTACTGTAAGTAATCTGTAATTTTTGTCTGCTTCCGTTTATTTATTGTAAAAACATTCTCTAATACTATTGTGTATAGAAGACATTGCTATGGTCAAATTATCATTTTTAATATTACTGTGAACAAATCGTGATAATAATTCTGCAGCTTTTAATGCCTCCTCTGCGGTAGGTAATGGTGCTTCCTCGACTTCCTCTTCCCCATCACTTTCGAGTTGTTCCTTAGCACTAATGTTCTGTACGATATTTTCATCGGTGGGTTCTTCAAATGTGAGGAGAGCGCTATCGATGTAAACATAATCTTCCCAAATTTCTGGTGCTGCTAAAGAATCTGAATTTAGGTTTCGTGACCACAAAGATAAAGGAATGTCATCTTCTACATCGAATTCATGTTCTAAACAGTCGTGACTTTCAATGAATCCTGCATGTTTGAAACAGTTGTGAATGGTACTTTGTGACATTTTATTCCAGGCATCATTAACCATCAGAATTGCATCTAGCACCGTTATTTTTGTAGAACAGTTGTTTTCATTAGCATGAAGACAATTAATTTTGAGCACAAAGTTCTTCCTAAAATTCGTTTTGATTGATCGTATTATTCCCTGCTCCACTGGCTGTAGTACTGATGTTGTATTCGACGGAAGGAAAACAAGTGTTATAGACTTTAAATCAGTAAATTTTTCTTCTTCACCAAATCACGAAGCCATTTTTCAAATAGTTCTGACGTCGTCCAAGCTTTACGATTGTTAGCATAATCGACAGGTAATGATTTGACACTTCTAAAACATCTTGGTTTTTGTGACTTTCCAATAATGAGCAATTTCTTCTTCTCTGGGTCACTCATATTCGCTGCTACCATGACAGTTATTCTATCTTTCGACAACTTACCTCCACTACAATTTTCACCTTTAAATTTTAAAGTTTTATTCGGCATTAATTTGTAAAAAAGTCCAGTTTCTTTAGCATTAAATATTTCATCATCAGAAAATTGTCTTCGTAAATTCGGCCACACAGATATCAACCAGTTTGTGGTTGAATTTTGATCAACAGACGAAGATTCACCTTCAATTTTTCCCGCCATAATGTTATGTCTAACTTTAAAACGACTGATCTAGCTTGCAGAACAATTGAAGTCGAGAATACCAAAACGCGCAGCAAAACCATTTGCCTTTTCCTGTAGCATAGGGCCAGGTATTCCTTTGTTCCTCATGTTTTTAAACCACTGTTTTAATGGTTGATCAACATTTTCTTGTCGTGATTTTCGAAGCCTCTTCGGTTTCAAAACATTTGAATTGAACGATTGCTTAATACGGTTCTTGTTTTTAAAAATCATTGAGATTGTCGAATGACCCACGCCAAATTCCTTTGCTAATCTGCATATTATTGCACTTTTCTCCTCAATTGTAAATGCTTTACGTCGTTGAGATGACATTTTTTTCACAGTAACAAACGAAAAGTAATGTGTGACTTTCAAGCGTCAATTACTCACTGAGATTCAAAAGAAAAACGAGCCACGAGCCACGTGGCAAACGTTGTCGGGAATCAACGAACATTGTAAAGAATCATGTCGGTTATTATAACCGGACATAATCTATTAAAAATGGGTCATAATAAGCGACATGTCACTGTAAGGGAAGTCATTATATCCGACCGTAGTGTAAATATAAGCGGAGTCAGCAAGGAACATCACACCACAAAATTTCCAAGTGATATTGCTTTGTGGCCAGAAATAATAAATGAAAGTATGATAGAATATTTCATAGTTAACATTCCCCAGAACTTTGGGAATATTGAAAATTTGAAAACCGAATTTGTTGACAGAAACAGAAAATACTTTAGAAATTTTACTAATGCTAATTTCTATTGCACTAAAGTTAATGGTTCTAAAGAAATAAGAGAATGGCTAAAGTTTTCAGACACGAGCAAATGCATTTACTGTTATGTATGTAAATTATTTTCAAAATCGTCAAAACTTACAACTGGTTTCAATGATTGGAAAAATGTGAATACAGTTTTGAGAGAACACGAACATTCTGAGAGTCACGTTAGTGCAATGCTTGGTCTAAAAAGAAGATCTTCAATTGTGGGACGTGTAGTTACCGAACTTGCTAAAAAAGTGGATAAAAAGTCATTTATTGGCGCGAGATATTAAAGCGCATAATTGCAACAGTAAAATTTCTAGCTAGTGTGGGCCTTGCATTCCGAGGACATCGAGAAGATACGGAATCAAGAAGAAGGGGGAATTTCTTATCATGTATTGAATATTTGAATTATTAATAATTTATAACAGAGGTCAGAAATTATTTCGAAACTGTTGAAGAGGAGGCTAAATCCCTAACAGCTCATCATTCTTATAAAGATATGAGACAAAGAAACGAACGAAAATGATACAGCAAATATCCATATGATGAAACGAACGAAAATGATACAGCTTAACGATTTTAAAATTTTCTTTGATTTAAAATTAAGCCGTGTTGAGACTAATAATTGTGTAGAGCGATTATTGTCTACTAGCGACCCGCCCCGGCTTCGCACGGTAGCAATACTGATACTAAATACACTACAGAAAAACTGTGAACGTTGTGGTATAAAATATATAGCCTATGTGATTAAAAATCGATCCAAAGTAGTTTTGATTTATTCATTACTGCCTGTGGCCCGCAATGCTGCTAAATTTGGGAGTAAAACAATGCCGCTTTCCCTATATCATGAAGATTCTGCTATCTTTGGAATATCTAAAACCGCTACACTGGCATTTTTAATTTATTTACTTTTATATTTTTAACTCAGGGGTACAGAATGTCTTCTATAAACGTTCAACGTTCACAGTTTTCTTATTATTAGATTAACACAAATATGTTTTTCGATTGGAGGTCACTCTTTGAAAAGAGCGACATACAGTTGTCCATATGTGAAAAATAACAGTCACCAAACCCAGTTTCCCTGTAATGTGTTGAAGGTTTGACCCCTGCGATTTATTAATGGTCATTGCAAAAGATGTTCTTACCGGAAACTGTAAACGCCTAAATTGGAAAGGTAAATCCGGATGGCATCATGAGGGATTCGGGGAATCAATACATCTTCTCCGGTACCACATCCCGTGAGTATTGTGCACTCTAATATGAAAGTTTTCAATGATTTTGCCAGCAAACGCGCGCTACTGCAAAAGTTTGTAAGTGGATCTAGGCTTTTAATAAAATAACACGTCCCACTTCCTCCCTCTCAGCTCTATATCTATCCTGAGCCTGACTGAGGCGAGCCCCACGTTCTGCTGACGATTTTTCATCTCTCTTGCTGAACGTACTCTTCTGGCATTCACAGCGATATTTCTGTTTGTCTCTACGATGCCACCTTTAAAAATTGTACTACTCTCGGGAAAAGTTTGCTTAAAAGTTTTATTTCGTTTATAGCATCTTTTCCTTCTGATACTTTGTGCGGAGAGCTCCCAAGTTCCCCGTGGACCAAAAGCATATCTAGTACCTCTTCTCTATACTTTATACTGATATGCACCACAAACGCCATAATAATTCATAAACAGCGGCAGAACGAGATTCGGAAACGTCCCAGTCCCTAACGCCAATACTTTTTAATTATATTGATAACATCGTCGACTATCACAGAAATTCAAAGTGCCACAGAGAAGTCCCCGCGTAATGGCCGGTACCGCCGAAACGCTACGTCCGGCAATTTTTGGCATATAAAGGACAGACAGAGTGAAAGCGACTTTCCTTCCAAACAAAACATCAACCGATCAACTTCAATCCCATAATGCACACTGCTTTTAGTGTGAAGCATGAAGCATCGCACAAAGAGGATTTAAGGATAATCTATGCTTAGAAACCCTCAAAAATAACAGTACTTCCACTATTTGGATGCTAGCCATACATACAAACCTTCCTCTTGAATTTACCCTATCTATTAAAAAACGCACCAAACTGCTGCGTAGTTTCAGTGTGACTTAAGCTCACAAAGGACCGGAAAAGCGACTTTTATTTTATACCGTGAAAAGATATATGAAATTAAACCTCATTAATTTGGTTAAGCTTATAATTAGATATGAGATAAGACACAAATTCTAAATACTCTACTGCTTCCAAAATATTGCACGGCCAATGTATTACTTAAACAATCATTGACTGCATTCCCAACATCTAAAATTTATGTAAGCTTAAGTGATACTTCCGTGTGACACGCCTCTTTAGTCAACAACATAAGAACAAATAATTAATGCAGCCGCATGTACACACTTATATACTGATAGCACTGATAGTAGAAACATTGAAATTGAATAATTCGCGATATGGACGTTGGACTCAAATTCACAAATAAATTCTAAAAATGTAACAATATTTAATATTTTTTAAATCTTGAATGATCTTCATTAGAGATGTGCTGAGTTAGTCGACTCAAACACCTGTATTTGCTGATTACATCTGAATGTTAGGGTCTTAAAGTGACTAGTTACCCACCCAAATATTCTGCTAAAATTAATTTTATGTTTTTTGTTTATTCTATTAATGGCCGTAGTTTCATATTTTCAAGGAATTCTGAATATTTTTTCAACACGTCAACACAACTGTCTGAAATTTTATACCAATTACTTTTTTAAAAAAGGTATTATTAAGCCGACTATCTGGTACATCTCTAATGATAATATTATGTTTGTTATCTGATACAAACTCCACAAACGTTATTTTGAACTTTCACCACAAGTCACTTCACCTAAGAACCCTAAATCCAATACCTAACAAAACCCAACCAACACCAATAGAACACTTTTACAACCAAATCAGTAACGTTTATTATGCCAATTTATGTGATAAAATGATGAAACAATTCTTCACCCATGCCCTAAATGATATTTCCAGTATTTCCGTCTTTCTGCTTATATACTATCATGTGACCT